TTAATGAAAAAATCAGTTATTTTCATGAGAACGATTTCAATTGTTATTCCATCTCAATTTTTTTAATCTCCAATCGCAATAACGTAAAGTATTATTACCCGCGAACCAATGAGTCAAATTTAAGAAACAACCCACTGTTAGAAAGCGGAATGGCTACGCTTTAAAATTAATGTAAACTTTAACGTTTTCGTCTATTATTTGTTTAGCAATTTACATTTCAGTCGAGGATTGCGCTTTTTTTGATACACCCTGTATATTCTTTCCTGTATAAAGGCTGGTTTTCATTATTTCATGGCGACACTCACCGATGTCGACTCTACGACCGATCCAATAGTGCTTATAGGTGCCGCCTTCATGCTATATTTATGCATGCATGGTTATTTCGTTGTAACTTGTATTAACTATACAAACTCAGTTTATACAATTAAACCGAAACAGTTTATACAATTCATGAAGTGATAGTTTGGTATATTAAAAAAGTTAGTCTCGTTTGTTAAAGACAAGCGAACAACGGATAAACTTACATTCACTTCGTCACTGTGAATATAGTTTCTACCACATCTTAAAGAATTCTTATTTTTCCCTGGTAGATTCTGGAACTTATTTAATTTTTCAACGTACAGTAGATATGTCATCTCTTTTCGTATTTTTACAGCCATTTTGAAGGTAAAATTTTTAAAAACTTGCCTAGGGCCAGCTCAAAACATTGCTAAAACCACTGCCGGTGGGCGTAAACAATTTAAAATTCAGCGGACTAAAATGTATTTTACTTTTTTTAGCCCGCTAATCATTCTCGTACCCAGAGCCCTTCTTACGCGCGGTCAACCGAGCGCGACGAGGGGCTCTGCATAGAGATTATAAATAACACTAGAGGAGGCATCGAGTTTAAAAATTGGGAACGCAGCTATTGGGGGGCAAATTCAAGTCCCGGATATAAAATCGTGCTCTCATTGGCTGATTTGAAAGTCGTCACCAATGGGAACACGAATACACATCCGGGACTTGAATTTGCCCCCCAATAGTCGCGTTCCCTTTTTTTTACTGAATTAAGATTACAATGCCTCCTCTAGTGTTATTTATAATCTTTATGGGGCTCTGGCCAAATCCACAACCGGATACCATAAAAACATGGTATCCGGTTAAACACTGCGCATGCTCAACGTCAAACGCAGATAAACACTTCGGTTTTCTTGTTTGTTTCGTTTTGAAAGTTTTTCTCCAGGAAAACCCCACAAAAGCGGTAGGTTTCGCTAATTTTATTTATTTAAATCAATTAGTAGGTAAGACGTGATTGTTCTCAATGCATGTTGATAAAATTTAGTATATATTTCTCTCTTAAGAGATTGTCTCACTATTTTATATTCGATTTTAAGTCGCTGTTGTACGGATTTTTAGACTATTTTTTGTGTTTCATTAAAAGTCAACAGTCATACATAAGACATACTATACGGTACTGCAAATCCTTTGAAAATTGTAAAAAATCGGTTTCTAAGAAGAAAATAGTCATCACAAACTTCATATTCTGGCTGGCTTATTTTCTCTTCAGATGGCACTTCGGCTTTGAACATGTAACACAGATTTGTTTAATTAACATCACTGATTTGAGAATACGACGTGCATCTGCCATAAATATATGTTGACTTTTTGCTGTGAGAACATCACGTTGGAACATCACGTCTCGAGCTATATTAATTTCAATCAACTAATTGATTTAAATCAATAAAATTAGCGAAATCTACCGCTATTGTGGGCGATTATCAACAACAATCTTCCTAACTGCTTCGTACTGCTGTTCTTTCAACTTTAATAATGTCTTTTCTCCCAATTGTCTCCAAAGCGAAACCAACGCTTCAATAGCGCTTGTGTATTTTTATTCATATTTACAATAAACCATATATTTCGTTGTGGCCAATCAGAAGCCAGTTTGATATGGATTTGGCCAGAGCCCCTCGTCGCGCTCGGTTGACCGCGCGTAAGAAGGGCTCTGGGTACGAGAATGCCCACTAATTTGTTCATTTTAGCGCGCAAAATACGCCGCAATGTTCGCTAAAGTTATTATAATGAACATTGGTCTATGCCGAAGGACAAATTGAGTAAATATTTTGTTAAATTTGGATGAAAATTGTACGAGAAATTAGCAAACGATGACCTTGCTACGTAATTGGCCCATTATATAATTTTGCATGGCGTCTTTTAACTCGCGGCTAGCCCTGGGTACGAGGTTCGTCTTTTAACACCTTATACTTACTTTGTTTTTAGCCTACCCAAACAGTATTGGTTTCTACACGCACAACGTCATTCCGGGAAACTACGTTCTCTGGGTGAATTCTGATAACGCAATTTCCAATAAACAAAATGTTACTGTCGTTCCTGGAAAAAACCACTGCGATGTATCGTTTACATCTTTTAAGGCTCATACACGCAGGGATGTAGAGCCTTATAGATCTACTGGAAACATACTCACATACAGGAACTTGCTTATGATGCTTTTTGTAATTGTAACACCCTTGTGTGTCATGCACCAGTAAGCTCTGTACATATATGGGTTAAAAAGAGTTTTAACCATTTTAAAGTTAAAAATATTTTCGAGCTTTTTTCTGACGGACCATATTGGTAATCTACAATCCTGGGCAAAACCATCTGCGACACTCTATTAAAACATTCCTTTGTGGCTTTTTTTACCATTAGACCGGAATAATTTACTCGTTTGCCCCCCTCCGCCCCCCCCCAAAAAAAAAACAATGTTGGACGTTTTAACCGTATTCTGCGAATGCAATCAACATTGAATGGTGGGGGTAAGGGGGAGGTTTTCTAAATTTGCGATAATATTACGTCATTTTGTTAAATAATTGGAAGTGTCGCAGATGTTTTGTCCAGGATTTTAGTTATCAGTTCATAAAATCATAATACTAGTCTTTAAATCGAGGTCAAAACAACATCTACCCAGTGAAATGAATGCAACTGGAATGCTACCTCCAACCGGAAATTTGAAGCCAAACTTGAAGGTCAGTCCCAGTCTTTCCACGAATGCGAAGAGCACGGTCAATCCAGCAACATGAATATGTGTTCGTGGAAACCGGCTTGAAAATTACAAAAAAGCTTTTTAGCAGCGATGAAAACTTTCTATTAATGCATTTATTCAGCTAAAACTTCCTGTCAGACTTTACTTTTAGTTTTTTTCTTATTAAAACGGCATGTTCGGTCCTTGAACTGGTCTCGCGAGGCATAAACACGCGGGTCTTGATCCCGAGATACGCGAGTCTGGGGGGTCAAATTTGGCTTCAAGAAAAATATATCAAAGGGAAGATGGCTGTGAAACTCATTAGAATAACAATATAACTCATTATCTATGTTGGTCAACGTTTATTCATAAATCTGGTCCTGCACCGTCACGTGCGTATTGTATTTCGCCAAATCCACCAATTGCAATTTCCAATTTTCCCTATTGGTCGAGTCACGGATAGGTAACTTTCCTAAAACATTGCTATTGGTTAGTTGGGCAAAAATACAATATACAAGTGACGGTGAAGGACCGGATTTATGAATAAACGTTGACTAACATAGATAATTAATTGCATTGTTATTCTAATAAGTTTCACAGCCATCTTCCCTTCGATAGGCTATAGTTCAAGTTACATTCATTTCTCCGTTGTGACCTCGTGTAACCGCGCAGACAAAAACAATAGAAAAGGACTGGCACTAGACGTCAATATCCGCCATCTTTGGCTCCATTTTTTGGACGCGAGCCTTACTCCAGACATATATTAAACTCACTATATCACACTTACTTCCTTTCGCATAAATAGACAATAGATTTTTAGATTTTGGGGCATGTTGTTCGATAGAACTAATAGTATAGATGGGTTTTGTAAAATTAAGAGGAAACTTTACGTCAAATTATAGTCATAAAAGTATATCCAACATGTTTATGTATACTGTATATAAAATATACAGCAAATTATGAACAGTATATATCTTAATAATAGGGTCCGCAGTAATAGGCATTTAGCTGTTGCGACTACCCTGCCACGACTATTTTCGTTTGCCTAGCTAATGTAATTTATTGTGTTGTAATGCCGTATATTGTATGTATATTGTAATTCAAGTGGCGAAGTTAATAAAATAAAATAATAATAGCGTGTTTGTCTTAAATTACACAAGCCAATTTTACACAAAACAAGGTGTCAGCCACGGGACCAGAAGTTTTTGTGAATTGACAGCGCTGAAACAGAAATATTACCAATATTTCCGAAACAGAAAGTATTTGTGTTGAAATCTTTTGAGATTTTTTTAAAAGTGAAAACTATTTACTGCTTAATTTCTGGTAATTAGCGGTTCTCTGAGTAGCCAATTATAACCTCAGTGGCTCCCTTTAGTCGTTAAATGTAGATCATAAGTTTCAACGATTGCCCGAGATTGCGCTTGTACACATAAGCTTTCAATCATGGCAAAAATTCTTTGGATAGTTGTTTGGATGATTATAAATGTTTTTTATAATATAGTATTTGTAAATTCTGAACGCTGATTGGCTAAGAGCCGTGTTGATAAAACTCGATGTCAACACGGAAACGTCGGAAAATTCTTTCTTTATATTTCTTTGTGCTATATTATAAAACAAATATAAAACATTTTTTCCGTGTTGATATGTAGTTATATCAACACTCGTGGAAATTGGGAAAACTCGAAATTGTGTGAAAACACTCCGCCCTTCGGGCGTCGTGTTTCCACACAATTTCTCGTTTTCCCAATTTCCACTCGTGTTGATATAACTGTATATCAACACGGAAAAAGTTTTATATTTGTTAAATATAAAATAGTAAAATATAGTATATTAAATATCAGAGATTAAATATATAATATAGTATATTATAAAATACTTATATAATATAAAATACTTATTTATAATATTTTTATATATACAAATACACATATTTCTTTGTACCTTCAAGGTTGAGCAAACACCAAAGATTTAGGAACCATATTAAATATATTGCAGAATATGAAACCAATTTAGTATAAATATTTATAAATATTGTGTTTTCAAAACTATACTACAGGCTCGTAGCCCACATGTGTTACACTTCATGTAACATATAGTATATTGGCAATATTGGCCTGGTTATAAACATGGTTGCCATTTCATATTTTTCTACAAACTTTTCTTGATCGACTTCATTCAGTTCATTGTTTCTTCGGTTTATACTGAAGACGTTACACCACCAAAAAGAGCTAGAGTTTCAGCAGAATGCGCAATTGCTAATATTATGCGATTTATGGAATACAAATATGACAACAATGACAGTGTCACAGTGATGATGGTGAAATCACTCAATTAGTGATGTTGAAAATGATTTGGATTGTTTATATGGGGAGACAGGTCAGTTTCAGTTGTATCTCTTTTCATATGGTACAGAAATGCCAGCTTGTAAAGAAAAATGCTGGTGTTTTATGGACATCTGAGGTATGCCATAACATAAAAGTATGTCTTTTGAATGTAAAAGAACTAAAAATATCACATCCAAAATGTTTTTTATCTCTTTACATAAAATAACCAAAATGGATAAAATAATCGCCATTTTTTGACAGGCGGCCGTATTCAATGTGGCCAAAAAACAGCATTTTGGATTTGAATTTTACTTTTTTCTTATTTTTAAGTTAAAGAAAGATAAAACTTACTAAAAATACAACTTATAGGATAATGGCAATTACTCAACAGAATTTTTTAGCCCTATCAGCACACCCCAGGTCATATCAACATGAATAAACCCCGGTAAGCTTATCGTTTTATGATGAGGTATGAAACATTGAGACTGTTATCTTGATGGGGTACCAAATATTATCCGACAAGTTTGTGGGGGTATGAAATTTTTTTCACACAATTAAAAATATCCTCCACCCCGGGGTAGCACTTACTTTATGACCGCTCCCTAAGAAAACTTGCGAGAAAATACAATCGTTCAATCGTTCGTATTAAATAAACGTGATTACAGATATAAACACTGTAGCTTCAAACAAGAATACATACGTAATTTGCTCTGAACCAGTCTGTTTATATTTTCTTTGATCGCGTGTCTTGTATTTTCTTGCGAAGGTGAGGGAAGTGTGGTTTTAACTCTTTGATGTGACTGATGCCGTATGAGCCCGTATCCCGCAAAATATATCTGGTAATACTATGTTTACACTCACCATAATTTAATATATTCAAGGCAGTCTATCTTCGCCGTAGCATCTCGTTTTGTTTCTTGTGTTCCGCATATTTTTTAGATATCGCGCGTAACATTCTTGGCTCGCTAGCGGTTCACCGGCATAAAGGCATGCATCATAATCGCCTAAAATTTCGCTATCAACTGCTTCTAGAGTTCCAATTTCGTGACTAGTATCATTTGATTCATCCTCTATATTAGGCCCAGGAATATAATTGTATTCTGAGTCACATTGAGAACCATGAGTGCTGGAAAACATATGTCTTCCCAATAGCTTTTTAGTACTCCTTCACATGTGAA